CTGCCTTGCATCACTCTTGGCTAGTAGAAAACAGTCGTTAGCAATTGTTAGTAATATGAGCAGCTATAGCTCAGGAGGCAGAGCGGGTTGTCCACTAATCAGGAGGTTGGCGGTTTGATCCCTGGCTCCTCCTGCTGCATGTCGAAGTGTTGAGCAGTGTTGACCTTGAGCAAGATACTGAACCCCAAATTGATGCTGTGGATGAATGTGTGATGTGTGATTGATGATAGGTCATCAATCACTGTATGAAAGTGTGTAAATGGGTGAATGTGGCATGTAGTGTTAAAGCTTAGAGTGATTGTAAGACTAGAGAGCTGTACAAGTTGGACTCTGTGTTGTGATGGTTGCCGGCTGTTTGCAGAAGTTAGCGCGGACTCAATTTATAAGCCATCATTAGCTAGTTAGCATTGCACACTGTCAGGAAGCGGAGAGAGAAGGCACTCGGGAGCGTGGATAAATGTCACATCCTTTGTATTTTTCCAGAAAATCTGTCCCAAAACCTTGTATAGAATCAGTCCAAAGTCTGGGTTTTGAGTTACAACCTGGCAATAAAAAGTGATTAATACATAAAAATAATGCGACATTTACATACCTTTTTAAAACGCTCTTTATTCTTTAACATGAAAACATATGAACTTATTTTTGATAGAGATCTTTCATATTTTGTTACTTTCTACAACCACTTTTCAGGTCCACAGAGTGTGCATGTTAGTAAAAAGACAGATTTTGGGTGGGACTGTGATTTTGGTTCTAACTTGGTTTTATAGTTAATGTATTTATAGTCTCTTAAAAGCCCTAAAAGGAAATGAGAGATGGATGGACACAGGTTATACTAAATATATATATATCCTCCTTTAATATCCTCCCTCACTTTTAAGCGGCCAGGGGAGTTTAGATGTCATCTTCAGTTATCTTCAGTTAGTAGTTCTTTTTCTTCAGGATTCTGATAGAGAGTTAGGGTTATGAGTAAAAGGTGTGGAGTCACCTTTCAGAGGTCAGATGCCATCCTCTGGGACTGAGGCAGTCCAATTGGATGAGGGTTCAGAGAGGAATCGGGTCAGTAGAAGATCTTCAAAAGAACAGAAGTACAAGTATGTGTCAGAGTCTGTGGATTCACAGCTACCAGCCAGTCAGTCGCTGCTAGCATTAGCTCCTGTTGCAATCATTCAATATGAAAGGCTTTCTTAGTGCACTGGATTTAATCTTTAAATTGTACAAATGTACATAATTGAGAAGCTAATTTGAATCAGGAATCTTTTTGAATTGAAATCTGACCCCAAGACTCAAAACAGAATCGTGTGGTACTAAAAGATATACAATCCTACTCCTTAGAACTCATTATAGTGTTTTATACTACAGTATCAAAGTAATCTAGTACACTTGACACTTGTTAACTTTTTTCTTGTTGCGCTATTAATATTGTTTTGACCTTGCCAAGGCTCAGAATGACACTCTTGTCTATCTATTCATATAGAGGTATTTACCCCATGTTAAAGTTCTGTCTATCTTGATTCTGCCCACAGTGTGATTTGATTTCAGTAAGGAATTTGAGTAGCTGGCAGACTGACAAATACAGTGTTAAGAGAAGTAGTCAGATTACACACAGGGGACTGTTACGAGAACAAAGCAAGGGTCAACTTTTTAGTAGTTTCGCGAACAAGGTTAAATGCCTGTATATGTTTGAGTCAAACTAGTTGTACAAAGTTCGAAGAGGTATAAATACTTTTGGCTTTCAATGTGGTCAGACCACATTCTAAGGTGGGGCAAAAGGTGTTGTAGGGGGCGGGACGGAATTAATTGTACACTTTTATTTTGGCATTTTTATTTTTTATTTTCAACAGCAAATATAGCAACAAAAAACAGGCAGCATCGTTCAGTGTTTCAGACCTTCTGAAGGTCATGATCCCATTTTGGTGTCTTCCTCAAGCTCACCAGCATTAGTTCTCTTCTTTCTGTCTTCACACAGGGGCCTGATATCCATGAATTCTACTGACACCTACTACCTGGAGCCAATTAGCGGAGTGGATCCTCTCCACCATTCGCTGTTGAGTGCAGAGGAACTGCCAGTTAAAGGTGGAAACTGCAGCCACGGCCATCACACCACACAGTCCAACCACATCTCCAACCTGCTCAGTTCATTTCATTCTAGGGTGAGTCTCCCATGCACCTTTCATTTGCTACAAGTTGTGGTTTTGACAATATTAGTTTGTTTTCCTAATATGAACATAAGTAGTGTGACAATACTAGAATTTTATCTTCAACACTAACTTTAGAGAAACAATAATCTATTTTACAAAATACACTTGTTTGCTGTCTTGCCCAACATAGACAAGAAGATCAATAACAATTTTATCTCTGTGCGTCCCCAGCTTTTATCCGTTTTCTTGACTAAAAGAATTTCTGAAGGACAAGGTTGTTGCTTATATCTTCTGCCTCATTTGCAGTCTTTCAATTCAGTTGAAAAAAATTGCTCTTCTTCATAACATAAGGATAGATAAACATAACATAGTTGTGATGTTCTGTTTATATCTTTCTCTCATAATAACATCTAAATTTGCACAATACAGACTTTCCTCCATCTGATCCATTCTTTTTTTCAGTTCCTGCCGTCCTTGTGAATTACTACAATGCATTGAACTTTTGATTTGTAAGAGGAAGATGGTAGTTACACAGTAAAACCAACCATATAAGACAACTTCAGAACTTTACTCGAACACTTGAAATTTCTTGCTGTCCCCATACAAAACAACAAAAGTTTGAAACAAAATTGAGTGAAATCTGTAAGCCAATTCATGCAGACAGCTCAAGTCAGTGCTACATTCACATGGCATGTTCTGCCGGAAAGATGTACACCGATCAGCCATAACATTGTGACCACCTGGGCACCCTGGTGGTCATCATGTTCTGCAGCTCCATACCAACAAACTGTGACCGGGAACACTCCACAAGAGCTGCAGTTTTGGAGGTGCTCTATCCCAGTGGTCTAGCCATCATAATGTGGCCCTTGTCAAAGTCGCTTAAATCCTTACGCTGCCCATTTTTCCTGCTTCTAACACATCAACTTTGAGGATAAAATGTTCGCTTGCTGCTATGTATATCCCACCCACTGACAGGTGGCATGAAATCCAGACAATCAGTGGTATTCACTTCACCAGTCAGTGCTCAGAATCAATATGGTGGATTGGTGTATGCAATAGGCCTCCACGTCAGCCTCCACGTCAGCATCCACCTTTAGGCTCTAATTGCATTTTCCTGTGAAGTGGAGGTACAGGTTAGTCAACGTTCTTTTAAGGGAGCTCTTAGTAGGGAGTGATAAATTCACACATCAATAACACTGTGCCATTTGAGTTGGATAACTGAATCAAGCTCTATACTATGGTTAGACACAAATGTTCCCTCCTCATCAGCTGTATCATCCAGCCGTGACGCAGCACATACAAACAGTACCCAACAGCCTAGTGCTCAGTATCTCTGGAATCTTCACAAGTCATCCCAACCTTTCAGCAGGACTATTCAAGCTTTGTTTTGTTTGTTTGAAGCTGAATTTCACAGTGGGTACATTGAAAAGGACACAAAAGTATTTGTGTTTGTTCATTTACCACCTCTTATGTGATTTATCTAGTCATAACTTTCTTTTGGTTTGGTTTATTACGTAGTGAACTGAAATCACCATCCACATGGGGACACTTTGTCATATGGAAACACAATATTGAATAGGTCTCGATGCCATTTTAGGGCCCAGTATTGCTCTCACACCACCTGGAAATGGAGGGAATTATGGCTTTGACTCAGCTCTTCAGGTCTGTTAAGGCCATGGATTCCAGTCAATTTCCTGAGCCTTTATAAAGAAAGAGAACTAAACACAAGCCTAGTTTGCTCATCCGCAGTTATAAATGATAAAAAGGCTCCTCAGTGGGCCATTTTGCCTTCATCTGTCTCCACTGCTGGGACAAACAGTCATTCTTTGGTTTTCATATTTCTTCCCATATTTATCATTTTCCCATTTACGTTCTCAATCACTTTAAACTGTTCTCATCTTCCTCCACTCCTCATGTGCTAAAGCCCTCTTAGCTCTCCACCAGGGCATCATCCTTTCCCCCTATTTCTTTATCTTCCTCCCTCCTGCACCATACCCCTTGGCTCTCCCAATTCCCTCCACTGCCACCCATTAATCCTGGGTTGTTATGCAGAAATGCCAGCCACAGCAGACTCCAGGCTGAGTCCCAAGGCTTTTGCCACTATTTGCCTCTCAAATAAACAATGCAATGTGTTAGTGTGGATATATGTGTGTGCACGTGTGTGGGTCTGAGCTCCACAGGCTGCCATCACAGCACCACAGATTCCCCGCCAATCCGCAATATTGGTTCTAAGTCCAGACCAAGTCTCCCCGCACGTAAATCAATGAGTTTTAATTACAGCGGAGCCCTTCCCTAATGGCTGTAATCAAGAATTAGGGGAGTGGAAACTTAATGATGGATGGATATAAGGAGTCGTAAAAGCTTTGTAAACACAACAGCATAGATGGCTAGGAGGCTACTCGTACATATTAGGTTTTTCACCTCTTTATGCACCACTTTCAGACTGTGTAACTGCAAGATTTTAACCAGTTTTATAAGGTCGAATAATTCAATTCAATTCAATTTTATTTGTATAGTGCCAATTCATTCAATAATCAGGTCTGGTTTCTTGTTCTGTTTTGCAGTCCTATACTGACACCAGTACCTACTGACCTGCATAATTCTTTTCTCATGTTTTGTTACAATTCATGATACTGGGTTCACAATATGATTTTGTCATGATTTAAAGAAAAAAGAGAAGAGAAATTATGACTGAAAAAAATTCCTTTATTTTTTAGACAAAAAATCTACAAAATATATTTTCTCTTATGTTCTTTAAACAAGATGGTGTCTTCATTTTTCTTCATCATCTTTCATATTACATATCACTCCTAAGTTTCTCAATCATAACTCTATAGTTCAGTTTATAAAGCAAGTCTGATTGTTTGGGAACAGTGGCTCCCATGTACTTAACTCAGTAACTTTAACTGAAAGATTACTGAGAAACTCAGGATCTGGATATGGTAAATGACAAATGGACCTGTACTTGGCTATAGGGGGCCTTTCTAGTCTTCCGACCACTCAAAGCGCCTTTACACTACGTGCCACATTCACCCTTCACACAACACATTCACTCAGTGATGGCAAAGTCCATCGAACAGAACTAACATCATTCATACACATTCACACACCGATGCTATGCATCGGAGCAATTTGGGGTTCAATATCTTGCTCAAGGACACGTGGCAGGAGGGCCGGATCGAACCAACAACCTCTGATTGGGGATGACCGCTCTTTTTTTTTTTTTTTTTTTTTTTTTTTTTTTTTTTTTTTTATTTTTTTTTTTTTCTTTTTTTTTTTTTTTTTTTTTTTTTTTTTCCCTCTGAGCCACAGCCGATATGGTTTACTCTAACCTTTTTGTAAGGTCCAGTTGTGGTTAAACGGGTTCCTCAGAATGTAGGTGAAATACAATTATGTCATCACCATACAGAGTATTATTATTTTAGGGTTATTTCTGATGTTGATAGCCAGGGGTTCTATGCATGTGGCAAACAGCAGCGGGCTCAGTGGGCAGCCTTGCAGTAAACCACGGTGTAGGCTACAAAGGGAAAATCTCTGGGCTGGTATGGACTGATGCAGTTGGATAGGCATAGAGCCTCTCTATATCAAGTGCAAGGACTGACTCATTCTGATTACTGTATACAATATTCAATAGTCTACAAACATCAAAAAGGGAAATCTTCATACTTCATACATTCTTGAATGTTTGTTGTTACAGTAAGATAAACTGCTGTATCTTTGTAAGCACATATTAATGTGAAAAATGACATCTTCACTTGGATACACGCCTAAAAGGTTTCATAACTGAATTGTACTCTTGAATAAATTGATTAATTGATCTGCTACAGTCAGAAAACCTGGCACCGTCAATACAATTTAAATGTATTCAATTTAAAAATATACTAGAATCAAAGTTTATTAACTAAAAATAAAGTAGAAGAAATAGTAGTATAATACAGTACAGTATAGTATATTATAGTACAGTATAGTACAGTATAGTATATTATAGTACAGTATAGTATAAAACAGTATAGTATATTATAGTACAGTATAGTATAGAACAGTATTGTAAATTATAGTACAGTATAGAATAGTATTGTATATTACAGTACAGTACAGTATATTGCAGTACAGTACAGTATAGAACAGTATTGTATATCATACTACAGTATAGAGTATTGTATATCATACTACAGTATAGAGTATTGTATATCATATATTATAGTACAGTGTATTGTATCGAGCAAGCCAATTAGACCTGTGAATAATCTTGTTCCCATCTGTTTTTGTCGTTACTGTCAGGTTAAAAGGAATGCCTGGGGTACCACCAAGTACATGGAGCTGTACATAGTGGCTGATAACACACTGGTAAGCTAACAGTTAATCTCTACCTCATTCACTCCACAGCAGAATATTCCTGTATCAGTGTGAGGGCCACACTTGTCCACTGACGTAAAAAAAAACATCAGTGACACACGAGGACGGAAACAGGGTCCACATCTTAAACAATTATCTCATTGCAGCTAATGGAGCTCTTTCAGACTGAGAGCACGAAGCAGACATGGCAAGGGAAAAAGCATGTGGAGACGAAGTGGAAGGAATTGTCTGCTTAATGAGGGAGTATATTTAGGTGGAATCTAAAGGTGGAAGGACATTCAGATGGACACTAAGCTGTAGTGATGAGACGCTAGATCTTCATAAAAGTCCATTTAGGCTTCTGCCTGCTACATTAATGCCATGGTAACAGCACATGGTGACCAATAAGAGTATGGTCCTCTCCCTCTGTAATTGGTATAATTATGATGATGGACCGGGGTAGAAGTGGTAAAGCAGCACTGGTTGGGTTATAGTGTTGTTTTCATGGGTCATTAGTCTCTGTAGAGACTTTAAAATGGATTGTCTCTAACATTTGATTTATTTTGCTGACCGCTGACCTCATTCATGTTGCTAATACTCCGCCATCTTCTCTTTTCTGCAGTTCAGAAGGCAGAATAAGGACTATGAAAAGACCAAGACGAGGATAATGGAAATTGCCAATTACGTGGATAAGGTAAGGCTGATGGGTTCTCCTGCGTACTGCAGTTCTCCAGAGAACAAACAGCTCCATTCAGCAACTAATAGATATTGTCAAACACTCATTGCATATCTCAATGCCATCTTTTACTAATCTACTTTGAAGTTTGTTGTTTTTGATGTTCCAAATAAATAATGAGTGATTGAAAAGTGTACACAGATATTTGCTGTCGTATGAAACCTCATCAGGATTTAATCAATAGTGTCCTTTAACAACCCTTAAGGGGAGATTGGGAAGGAATTGCCTTGTGTGACCAGACTGTGTTATAGGAGCTTATGACAAGATTGTGGACAAACCTGTGTTTTTGTGTGCCTGTGTGTGTGCAGGTACATATTTGTTGTTGTTTCTCTCTGTGTTCAGTTCTATAGGGCCCTAAACATCCGTGTGCCTTTGATTGGCCTGGAGGTTTGGACTGACAGGGATCAGTGTATTGTCACCGAGGAGCCAAACGCCACCCTCTGGTCCTTCCTCCAGTGGAGGCAGAAGCTGAAATCCCGGAAGAAACATGACAACGCCCAGCTGCTGACGTGAGTACTGGACACACACACACACACA